TGAGCATCCAGCTCTACAGGCACGGTGGTTATGCTCCAAGCAAGGTGTATTAAATAAATATTGGAACATAAAAGCTGATATAAGTTACAAAAAAAAGTTCCAGAATATATTAATATCCTAAATATTTTTATTCCGACAAATTTATGATTGTTTTTTTCTATCTGCTGAAGGAACAACACAGAAGAAAGAAGTTACTACCAACCTCTGCTCACATACTAATATTAGGAGAGAAATTTAAGTTGTTCTCCTGAAATGAGCAACCACATCTCCCAGTATGGTTAGAAGGTCTACCCTTTTCTTCTTCCTGAACAGACAGGCTGTCTTCTGCTCATATCACAATTATTTGCCCACAAAACCAAGACATCAGGAAGTCAAAGAGATTATCTTCTTTACATAAGATAAAACAACAAATTTATTAAAGAACTACAAGTTTTTTCCATGTCAACTTCACTAACCACAAGTTAAAATAGGAAAGTCAAAGGACACTGGCAAAATAGGAGCTGCATTTGCCCAACAAAATTTTATCCCCAGTGATGGCAAAAATACTCAGTTTGATTCCCAAATGCTGAGTTAGCGGGAAAACACTCCAACTGGACGAAGAGGAGTTGTAACATATAAACCAGGCACTTCAATCCAAAGAAAGAAGCAATTAATATCCTTTCATGGCTGTTAGCCTGGAGAAAAGGAGCCTCAGGGGAGACCTTATAAGTCTCAACAACTATCTGAAAGGAGGCTGCAGTGAGGTGGGAGTCAACCTGTTCTGTCAAGTAACAGGTGATAGAACAAGAGGAAATGGCTTCAAGTTGTGCCAAGGGACGTTTAGATTGGATGTTAGGAAGAATTTCTTTACTGAAAGGGTCGTCAGGCATTGGAACACGTTACCCAGGGCAGTGGTGGAGTCCCCATCCCTGGAGGTATTTAAGGGTTGTGTAGATATAGTGCTCAGGGACATGGTTTAGTGGTGGGCTTGTCAGTATTCGGTTAATGATTGGACTAGATAATCTTACAGGTCTTTTCCAATCTAGGAGATTCTGTGATTCTGAGATTCTGTTCCTTGTCAGAGCAGCCCTTTGTCCAGCAGCTTCACTCAACAGGCCTGTTCTCCATATTGTCCAACTGCAATGAAAGGGACTTCACCAGAATAGTGCCACCACGAGAAAAAACACATGATTATTTACTAGGTTGGGGGGGTGGGGTGACTTGTTTGGTTGGTTTTTAGCCAAAACTCCAAAACTCTACTTGGCCTCTGCTTTTGAATAGTTCTCATCATGAATGCTGAATTCCATCCATCAGGAAAAAAAAAAAAAAAAAAAAAGAGGATTTCTTCTGATCTTTGGCATTGTTCAAATTGTGAACCTAAAGCTGAACTGAATTCTTTTTGCTACTGCCAGAAGTAATTCCAGGAATGTGAAAGTTATTACTTGGCAATGTTTAGTATTGTTATTTTACATCTATCCAAAATACATAGGACTTCCTGAAAAAATATAACTCTAACTAATGCATTTCTAAATGTACCATTTACTATAACAAGTTCACCTGTTTTGTAAGACATAACAGCTAACACAGCCCCAGCATAGGAATTTCAACATGAGAAAGTATAGACAATGTGGGAAATAAGATGTATTGCATTTAAATCTCACAGGGAGTGAGCACCATATATCTGACCCAACAGCTAAACAGCTGAAAACAGCCCTGTGCAAAAAACAGTTCCTGCAACAGCACTGTGTCATGTATACATTTTAAATGTAATCTGGTTGTTTATCTCTTACTTACATTCAAATTTATTTTATGGAATCAGAGATTCTGGAATACTTCAGACCCTTTCTGACTATAGTATCAAAATGCAGCACGTTTTAGCTCACCACTACAAAAGCAGCAGAGGTGCAAGCTTTAACAGTCACTTAACAAGGTGTAAAAACCTAAGAGGCAAAAAAAGAAAAGAATAAAGGAAAGGGGAAATAGTTTATAGTCAGAACAGGGTTTTTCAATAGCAAAGAGTCTCCTTGCTTCCCATTTTAACTAGATGGGTCACATTTTCTACTGTCAAAATAGGCATGACCACTAAACTTGTGGAACTAATCCATTTTATGCTAGCAGAAGATATGTCCCTAGACTCCTGATTTCTGATGCCATGAGAACAAAGTAAGGCCTTATGTGATCAAGTAATTAAAGCGAAGCCACTTTAAAATGTTCAGTAAATACAGTAAATCTGCTTATGCTGACAAGATATTACCTTGCTTGCAGAAATGACCATTATTTATGCACTTTCAGAGATGTCTAAAGAAGAAGAATTGTACTGTTTTATTTGTAGAATTTGCTGACAGGATTCTATTTTGGCTTGCACACATGCATATTATTTGACTCTAGTTTAGGTGCCTATTTTAAACATTTTTCATAATAGGAATATTTTAATTATCCGCTGTCTCTTGGATTAATGTTCTTTGAGAGGTATTATTATATAGAAGGCACTGAATATGCGGGAATGTCTCAAAGGAAGATGGACAACTATTAGTAACTTCAGATGACTTTCAAAGACATCAACAGATACTATCAAACTTAAATTACTTAAAGTGCAGGTACTGACATTCTTCTTTACCTTTAATAAAGCATATCTTCTGTGTCTTTATCAGTTATTACTAACATCTTCATACCACTGTTAGAGGGGCATTAAAATTCACGATATTGAGTTTATTGTACTGTTACGCAAATACTGCTGGATGTTTGTTGTGTCCTCTTCACTTTCACAGATCTTCACTATCAGTTTTATCATTAAATTAATGGTATTGTTGGTGTTGGATCTAACATTAGAACTGCCGCTCAAAGAAGTAATTCTCTCAAAAATACACATTTTTGTTTCAGATCTCAAAAAGAACATACAGTAGTGTAAAAATCAACCGAATAATATATTTAACCAAAGTAGCATGACGGACTTGTCACAGCACATAGGCATAACCCACTCAGCATCAGGGGATTCCACAAAAATGTCGCTCATAAGCCTATACACCTAGCTGCATACAGTACGTAAAGTAACTGCTTCTCAGAACACTGTCAGGTGGCAAGTAGAATGAGTTCATTTTACTTCTAGAGAAATGAGCTGAAAGCAGAGTAACAGAGTGTCATGGTACACTTTAACACCAGAATCCTAATAGCAATAGAGGTGAGTGGTTACCAAGTATGCCAGTACCATTAGATCATGGAATTACATACCATGTTGCATACAACTTCTTTTAAATGGACGAAGAGGAACGTAGGAAACTATAACTCTGAAGAATGCTTTGCCTTTTTCTTTAATTCAAAATACAAATTAATTTATTCCTATTTACTTTAAATAGATGTTATGTACCTATGCACCCATCCAGACATACATAAATAAATACCATATAGTTTAACCTACAAGGTAATCTGTGAACTTCTAAAATGTCTTAACTTCAATTTGTAAATCCAAAAATTTCACTGTATTAAAACACTCTGTAGGCTGCAGGGTTAAGTATTCTATTCCCAGAACCTTATAAAGATTATCATCCGCAATATCATCACACTACCTAGCTCTTAGACTGATCACTTTACTAGCCATACACTATTGAAGGGAAGTTTCTCCAGTCTAAGTAACTGATTAGCAACAGGAACTTCCTGATGTTCCTATTAAGCTTCACCATTCTTCTTTTATTCATACACAGATCTTCAGGAATATTATGTTTCTCCACATGGATTGAATTACTTAAAAACTCCTATCAGATACCGTTGCCTGCTTTCACGACTAGTTAAAACATGGGGAAGAGCATGGAGATGACTTCAAAGAAATGTGGCACATGATTTAAGGAAAAGTATGTACCTTGCCTTCTGAATAAAAATTTTCATCTAGAAAAACTAGTATCTATTTTTTTCTGTAGTCCTATTAAATGAATCACATTTAATCTGTGAGGGAGCACAGAAGCATGCCATAGGCTAATTGTGGTTTAAAAAGGTGGTATTTATTTTTGGATTCCGTCTGCAGTAAGGATGATAATTTGAAAAAACAGTGGTACAAGCAAAACAAATAAGAAAAATGAAAGAGTTGTGTGTTATTGTTTCAGTTGCCACTTGCTAGTACACCTTCCAAATAAAATACAACTTTCCTGTGCAAATTCTGTTTCATGTACTGAAAAACTATAGTTTTTCTTTTCCATATCCTTTTGATATTTTTTTGGCCACCATCTTCAAGGTGAAAAAAGAAAAAGCAAATAACTTGCAATGACAACTATTTCTATACTTTCTCTCACTGCCCTTCTGTTTTCTGCCCTTTCACCCTTCTCAAACCATACCAATTGAAACTTCTTCAAAAGCAAAAGGACCTATCTCTTGCCCAACCTTCTCTATATCCACATAATGTCAGGCTGTCATATGAGGCCAGATATTCCTTTCTATTTCCTATTGATACGTGAAGTCCAAAGTTATTCTATTGTCTATGTTTGAAGAGTGAATAGAAAGTGAAGTGTATCAACATTTTTGCCCAAACTGCAAGAGTATATTTTTAGAGCGATGTGAAGGGATTTAGAAGTGTGACTTCCAATTACCTTAATCGCAGCTATCTGGTTCAACATCAATACCTCGCACCAAAGTTTTAGCCTACGTTGCACATAAGTAATATAGTAATTTACCATAGGTCATCTTTATTGGCCAAGAGCTAAGAAAGAATATTTTTGAAAAAGAAAACATTTTGCATTTATTTTACCAAGGCCTCCATAAGAGTATTTATTTTGTCTCAAATAAAAACAACAAAAAGCAAAAATAGATACCTCAAACCTCTCTCCTCTGGCCCCTGTTTTATTTTTACTGTAAAAATAATGTTCTTGTCAGCCATATGAGCACGTATTTAAATTGGGGAATCACACAGTGAAGGATACTGTTTCAGATTAATATCAGATAATGCCTGAAATCTGTATCTCAGATTAAAACACTTCTCCCAGCTTTTCTCCAAGAAACACAGCAGGCTGTATCTTCAACAGCAGATGAAAACTCACCTTATTACAAAGTCATGGCTATCAATCTCTTTTCCACATCCACTGTCCAGGAGGATGCCAGAATTCCCAACAACTGCACAGGTTTTAAATCGGCGATTCTTCATTGGGGAAACTTCGGGGAGAAGGCTGTGCAAATCCTGAGAAATGTTTAGGGTGCGGCGTCTGTCCAGTACATAATGGATTACATCTCCCGGCTTGAAGCTGCTTTTGACCACTGAGACATCTCTTTCAGCATCCAAGAATCGAAGAATGTTCTTTCTGGGTTGACACAAAAACGCACAGATAAAACCCAACACTAACTGCTCGCATGGAGTTTATCTAGCAGTAATACAGACTGTTCAGACCATACAACATAAAGCAGACAGTAGATAGTGTCAGACAGACTAAGGTCATTTCCCATGCTCTAGGATGGAGTTAGAGCAAAACTGTTAGGACAGAGTTCAAATCTTGGTTACAATATAACACATAAATGCTACAGTGACAGAGCTTAATGACTTCCTACAGACAAAGGCACTGAGAGACCAAGGGAAGATGACTTCGGAAATTAGAAGGCATACTATTTTTGAGTATTTTCCAAAACTTTGGAATAAACATGTATTTGAAAAAGGACCAGAGCAGTGTGCTTTCATACAAATCTTTCAAATAAATGCCTTTTCAAAGAAATCATAGTTAAGTACACAAGGAATTTATGATTTAGGGAATAAATGCTTCACTACACTCTCATCTCTCACAAATCACCTTGGTTCAGGAATGGCCATGTTTTCTTATAGGTTATTATTTCCGCATAAGAGTAATATATTCAGTTTAGCATAAACTTGCTTCTAATTAACCGAAGTTCAGCCAGAGTTATCCTAATTAACTTGCAATAAGCACACCCACAGTCTTCTGTAACAATTTAAACAAAATCAGCTTCAAAACACACTGCAAATTAAACTACTGCAGCTCAGGGTCTAGTCAAGCTGTTAGCTGAACTCACAGAAACACTTATGAACCCTACCATCGCTTTAAATCAGTTCAGTCCAATCCTTTACCTTGCTTCTCTCCAATTAATTGTTTAAACTATTAGCTAGGTTCAGGCACATATGACCAAGATATGAGGGTTTAACAAGCTACCACAGGTCTGGTGAACTATGGTCATTAAAGACTTGTATACTCCCAGTCCACAGCAAGTAACAGGTGAAGAACGTCTGCATAAATGTGAGCTGAAGAAGTTATGTCAATTGTACCTGCTTACAGGGGTGGGGGCAGGAGTCCAAGAACTGACACGCTTTCAATACGTAAGTTCAAAACCCAACACTTTGAATGACTGCAGCTACGTACATGCCTGATACCTGCACTGGCAGCACCGAGCAGTTTTCAGCACACGCTTATCCTTGGTATAAAAAGCTGGGAAGGACTCAAAGTCAGAGAAGCAGGAGCCACTGGTAGCTCAGGATTGGAAATGAACAAAGCCTCACAAGCTTGTGTCTATCCCTGCTCTGCAAAGCATGCACATTTGTGAAGAGGTATAAAGATTGCACCGAACTTAAGCACACACTTAAGCACGATACGCTTATTGAACAGACGAGAAGTGCTGAGCTGGGACAGGGTGTTCACTACGTGTTAATTCGAATAGAAACTTTTGCCTCTGTAAGTCTAACAAGGCAAGAAGACAAAAAAAAAATAACAACTGTATTTTCCACTGCCATCAGGAGGTAAGGTGGAATTTAAAAAAGAACAGGCATTTTGTTGAGTAAGAAAATGCTATTTTTACGTAGTAAGTTTTTAGGGCAGAACTTCCTTAGAGCAGATCAAAACAGGAAAAGATAACTAGAGATGCTACTCTAGCAGCTGCAACACACACAGCGAGACACAAAGGGGAAACACCGCCCCACAAGCGAAAAGGGATGAACTATAGGAACACCATGCTCACACCAGCTAGCCCTTTTGTCGCTGCCTCAAGAGGGAAGAATATGTCTGAATGTTGCAACCAGTGACACAAAATACACACCCTGGAACTGACCTTAAAAGCCATAGGGGAAGTGAAACATGATAAAAATATTTTTAAAGTGTTTCCTCTCATTTCTTAAACTAGGACAAAAAAAAAAAAAAAAAAAAGGAAAGAATGTCTGTCTTGGACTGTCTGTTACAGCTGCCATGTATAAATGAAACAGCATCAGAGCAAAGACAGCTTGTGCTAAGGCACTCTGAGGGACTCCAAATAACAGAGCAGGACAGACAATATTAAAATACTGAGTGTCCAAAGCTTTTGGTAAAGCCAGGCAAGGTATTTCTGCAAAAGGAAGATGAAGACTTCACTGTAGCCTGCAAGTTGAATGGATTTAAGATCTCGGTGAGTTTGACAAGCTTAATTTTGTGGGTACTCTGCAAGGATATATAAATTGCTACAAAACAAAAAAGAGCAAGAAAGAAGGAATTGCCCAGTCTAGCAGTATTAAAAATGACTAAAATTCATTACTTAAGAACAGAGCTACCAGAGCTGTGGATGTGAAAGACAAGATGAATGCATTAAAAGTGAGCAATAGCACCAGCCAAGCTATCCAGAGACTCATTTCACACACTCTGACGTGAGAAGGGCTGACCACAAAGCCTCAAAAAGAAAAAAAAAAATCATGTGAAATGTACAGAAACCTAGGGCTCTAACTAAAAAAAGTCACATGTGATCATCAGAAGATTCACTTTAGTAATTTAAAGCACCCATCCCTGATACTAGAATGAATGTTTCTAATACTGTTTCTGTTAGCAAACAAGTAGCAACATTTGTACATTAATAGAGCATCTTGTGTATTATTTTAAAACATAAGAGGAAGGCAGTGAAGTTATGCAAACAGTGCCAAAAAAATAAAAGCACTTTGGCTTCCATTTTGAATTTGGTTACTTACAGTCAAAGATTATTTATCTCTCTATGTGCTTACATATGCTCACAGATATTCCTCCAAAGGGTTTCAAGTGGACCTGAATTATATTCAGATAATCAATCAACCACTAATTTAAGAGAGCTGAAATTTCCTAAATGTCTAAGGAATTTTTTTCAATAAAGTTTTGAGATGGCCGTCACTGCATCTTAGTATCTTCTCACATATTTAAAAACTTCTTCTTATCTGAAGTTGTCAGTAGCATATTCAATTAAACGTATGCACAGGTATTACAGTACATATAAGAATCCTTGTGTTACAGATGTATAATAATGCTAACATTAAAAAAATTTTAATTGATTCATCTGACTGTATCCAGATATCTTTTAATACTGAAAGAAATATGATTAAGAATGCAGAGTTCATGCTATTGTTTTAAGTTCCTTTGTGCTACCGATTCATCTGTACCATGGGTATAGTAGTACTTCCCATTTTAACATAAGTGTTCAGAGAAAAAAAAATTACTAAGTATATAGATGAGTGCCTCAATCAGTCCTGATGCTGTTTAATAAGAACTTGTTTAAACCTCTGCTCTGTCCCATGAAGAGCACTGAAAATAGCACAAGGTTATTCTGATTAAACAAACATGACAAAATAACTTAAAATAAGTGCTAATCCACATCCAGCTGCATATAAAATTCAAAATTAAGCTCAATTAGAGGAAGGAAAAAAACCAGTATGATTTTCAGTAAAACTTGAAGCAAAGGTGTTCTGCAGCCTCAAGTTAAAATGTATAAAGACACTGTTTTTATTTGAGGTGATCTTCAAGTTTTGTTTTGATGAATAAAACTGTATCTGGGGTGTGGCCTGAGCCCTTTGTGGGCAGGTGAGGCAGATGTGGCTCGCTCTTATCTGAAGCCAAGCAGCTGTTTGCAACATGTTTACATGACTCACAGAAACATGGTGTCACAATCTGTGGTTGACCCAGAGTTTTTCTTTGATAACCAGAAACAGATGTTCATAATATTTAAATACCAACTAGAACTCCCAGTTATCTGATAAAGTACATGTAACAGACAGCATTGTCTCTGAAGAGCTTTCCAAATGATATAAATGTGTATTGTTCTGGGGCAACACGGCGACATTTTTCTACTTGTGCGCACTTTTCTGGTTTTATTTTTTACTGTGGTCTTTCTACTACAATGGCAAGCTCTCTCTCATCTGCCTCAGAATTGTGTGGATTAAGAAGAGAAAATAAATCACTTAAACATTTGACTTTTAAAATTATAAATAAATTTATATTTTCAGACATTGCCAACAATACTGAAATATGACCAACACTTTTCCTGGGAAAATCATTCCTTTCAAGCAAGGCAGTGCCCGAAATCCTCACTGCTGGGGCATCTGGACTTGCCTGGACCCCAGCAGTGAGGGGAAGCTGCTGAGCTGCATCCTCAGTATCCAGGAAGATGGTCTGGCTCACCAGCAATCACATTACGGAAACAGCGACAGACAAAGGGATTACCTAGTGCACACTCTGCCCCCCCTAAAGATGTGCCTTTACCTACATCATCCTCAGCGCATGTTTATCTAACCTATGCCTAACAACCTCCCATGGTGGGGACTCGGCAAACTCCCCGTGCAGTCTATATCATTGCTTCCCCAGACTTACCAGCAGCACAATATTCCTCGTGCTAGCTCTGGTCTTTCCCACAGCAACCAACACCTGTTCTTGTTTCTTATGCCTTTCCTGTGGAGGACAAACTATTCCTTACTCTTGGCAATAGCCTTCATTTACCTGAGGCTAAGAAGCTATCCAACTTTTTTTAAAAACTTTTATTTTTTAATTGGACCAGCCCTGTGTTGTAGTACTCCGACCCCTCTTGTTGCTCTCCTGCAGACTTTCACAGACTGATTCACACAGGTCCGTAAACAACCTAATTTTCTAACTCAAGCAAGTCCTGATGCTGTTTTGCACACCCCAGTTGGAAGGAAGAAGGCGGCTCTCAGCCTTTGAAATCACCAAGGACTACGACCTAAGTAAAACATACTCTTTGCAAGTTAAATTAGTTTAATTAAAAAACAAAACAAAACAAAACAAGAACAAACTGTGGTAACACAAGGTCACAGGCTGCCCTTGTAGGTGGCTACAGCTACAGCTCCTGGTGGCCTCCTGAGGAGGCAGCGGGGACTATGAGTGTTTGTTCTTGTGTTGGGTTTGGCTTTAGTCTGACTGGGAGGGAGTTTTGAGAAAACATCTTCAAAGAAAGCAGCATTTAGAATCATAGAATAGTTTGGGTTGGAAGGGGACTTTAAAGGCCATCTAGTGCAACCCCTGATCTGGGTTTATTAGAAATACACCCGGCTGCAACTAACCATGGAAAGGTTCCCAGCATTCCCCGGCCCATGGAGGATCACACCAACAGAAATCATAGAATGGTTTAGGTTGGAAAGGAATGGTTTAGAATCATAGAATGGTTTAGGTTGGAAAGGACCTTGAAGATCGAGTTCCAACCCCTGCCTATGGCAGGGACACCTCCCACTAGACCAGGTAATGCCATATTACAGGAAGCTGCTGTCTGCCTCAGTCCCCATTCAAACCCTCCTCACGTCCACCCCACTCTCCCTTGACCAAAAAGGTCTCTTCAGTAGCTGAAGCACATACTAATCGGGCATATAAATCTTCAGTGGGCATGACTCAAGTAATGCTTACCATAGAAGGCCAGCCATACATCTGCTTTTCATGAAGTCAAGCAAGTTAGAGTCAAAAGAAAGGAGTCAAAAGAGTTAATCACCCCAACTGACAGTGAACACTGACTTACAGTTGAGGCAAGGGTCTAAGGAGGCAAAAAGCCCTTAAGGCTTATTATGACTAAACCAGACTAGAAAGCCCCAGTTTGCATGTCTAGGAGACACAGAAGATCTGAAGGAAACAGTGCAACTGGCCCAAAAATGTTACTTTAAAAGTTTCAGAGTAACTGTATTGCCCAATTGCTAGTTCAGTATTTACCGCTTGTGCTTCAGGGACTTATCATAGCAGTTTCATATTAACTTGAAAGACAAACAATGATAATAATCTGAACCTTTCTAAGGAGGAAGTTGCATTTTTTTTTAATGATGCTGTTAACATCTTACAAGTTCTCACACTTTTCTGACAGGAAATTTCCACTCATCAAGTTCTCTGTTACATTGCAAAGAGATAAATAGACCTTTTTTTTTTTTTTTTCCATTTTGCCTTCCTGCAGCTCAAAACCTTCATCTGCTCTCTCCAACAATAAACGGCCACATTTAATCAAAAAATAAATGGAAGAAGAAAGTCACACACTGAGACGTCAGACTGTAGGTCATTTCACAAAGGCCACAGATGTGCTGGCATCAGTCCTGCACAGGCGGCTTCCCCAGATAGGTTCGTACTATCTCAGCCACACCTCTCCTTTCTGAAAGTACGGCCTTCAATACAACTTGAATTTCCTTATTTCTGTAACTGGAAAACCTTCACATTGCTACAGAGAGCAGAAAGGACTTAAGACACAAAACCTCACAGACAGTGGGTTCTCCCTCTTCTTCATGACTGAAACCATTCAGACAGAAGGGGAGCCAAGCAAGCAGTCTTCTTCCCTTAGGCACAGGAATTACCAATTATTCTTCAAAGAACTTGTCATCAATCAGAAGGTACTATCAGTTGGAAAAATCCCTCTCCCACTAGACCAATTGTGACTGGCAAAGCAGCAACTTTGATAGTCTCAAGTAACTAATAATACCCATCATTTCCACATGAATCACAGAAAGTCTAGCTCTTTCTTGTAATGCCTGGTTAACACCTCCAAAGGGCTGTCTCCCTCCCAAAAGAGCTGCTACACTCACTAGGCTGCCTCTTCTGGCTGCAAAGTTCCAGAAAGCATCTTGTGACACCAGAAACCCAATGGAAGCTTTTAATCCTCCCTTGGGCTCCTGACAAAGGAGCTTTTTCACTCATTGACTCCTATCAGAGCCTGGTCTTGCCAAGAATTCATAGGACCTTTGAGGTTGATAGACTTGGTCACTAATCTGAGCAAAAGTAAGATGGCCAGATATGACACCCACAGTCAACAAAGCAAATAGTAAAACATAATATTCCAGCTGCCAGCCAACTAGGTCCAGACACACCATTGATCAACAGTCCTTGCACAAAGCAAAACTCATTATCAAATATTTTCTACATTTTAAAATTGCTAATGCGGGTGCAAAGCTGACATAAGAAACAAAAGCAGCTGGCATTTATGGGTGATTTTAAGGTCTACAAAATGTCTTTATGCTCTACACTAATGGTTTCACAAATTATTTCTCCATGGCTAAGAACTGATAACTTTTTATACATTGTTCACAGGGTCTAGCTTTTTTTTTCTCTTTCTTTCTTTCTTACTATTATTTGCTATGGTCAACCTCACACCACCAGACCACCACTGTTCACACTAAAGTTGCAATAATAGAGTATGAATCATCTTCATGGTCTACACAGTGCACGTAATGTGCTTTGGAGGGTTGAACAGTTAGTTTAACTATGAGAACACTCTAGGAGATTGCTAGACACATTTGAAGTTAGTCCTGATAGGTCTGTAAGTGTAAAAATATTTACGGCGAAGATGCTTCTTACTGCTGTGACAGGGAAGAAAGGTGTATAGCAAACCGCCTGTAAAAGTGAAAGAAGAATGCACATTGTTTAGTCAGCATCAGAGGGGAACACATATCACAAGGGACTGTACGTGGCTTCCTCAGGGAAACGCATGCCAAACCTCCCTCCCTTACCGCTGGGTACCATTACTGAATATGCTATGTACGTTAGCAAAGAGGATTTCTAGAAAGAATATCACTGGCTGGTAGCACCGATACCTTTCATATAGCTTATGTCAAATTTTGGCCCTAAATTACATTAATCTAAAATCTTTTACTGGTTCAGTGAAAACACCTGCTCTCTGCCCCAGTGTTCATGATGGTAGCTATTTCCTCTCAAAACAAGACTAGTGAGGTGGACATCTAAATAAACTCCACTTTATGATCTCTACCGTACAGAAAATCCTTACACTGATAAAGTAGAACCTTTACTGCTTAAACCAGTGTAGAAGATACACATCTTTCTTCACTTACTACTGAGACCAAAAAACATCCTTCGCTGCAAAATTTTTAAAAAACACCACATAATCACATCATGATGCTTCTTAAGAGCACATTAGTAATTTATAAAATGAGAGAACTCTCCCCCCCAGTCAACAGTAAATCAAAATACTGATTTTTAAACTCATGATTTTGGTACATTGAGATGATACACATGTAGTTACAGGCTTAAAAAAAAATCTAAAGCATTCTCTGCTGTTTTACCTCTTTTTCTGAATGACATATTTTGCTTTTGAAACAAATGAAAAATGAGCATAACCCAAGCTTCATTTTCTTTTTTAATTTGAATCAAAAAGTTATTGTAATATTTTTACTTGTTTGTTGTTTAGCTTGAGCCATTGGTTTTAAATGGTTTTGAAATATGACACTTACTTTTTCAAGAAAGTGACTGAAAAGGGTTGTCTGTCTCTGCTTATAGTTACTCAATGGCTTCCAAATCAGTCTACTTCACAAGTAAAACAGTGTGGTATTTTCTCCTATTTGTCAGAATCATAACCTATGAGTTGAAATTTCAACCGTATTCTTCTGAAGTTACTCAATATTTCTCCAACTTGAATTGTCAGTTATATGCATATCAATTTCAAATACTGTTACGGATATAGAAAATCTGCTTATCTTTCCTAGACTACTTTGGAACAGAACTTAGCCTTTACTAAACAACCATACACTGGTCAAACAGGCTGCATCTGAACAGATGGTCCTGGAAAGAACTCCATTCCTGAGCAGCACTTCAGCTGCATTTTAGGGTGACCACCAGGTCTTCACCAGTAGGAAACTCAGGTGCCCAGGGAACAGCCGAGTGCCTGAGAGTCCCTTAGTAGGGAGTCAGGGAGCGGGGACTCCACAGAGCTCCACAGAGCACTTGCCAGGCAGCTGAGACACAGCCATAGGCTCCAGAATATTAATTTGCCTACCCAAATCCTGCTATTCCTTCCATCCCTGATGCTGTTCCTCAGCTTTCGCAGCTGAGCCACGCCCATCATAGCACAAGACTTCCAAAACATCAATCCTTTACTACAGCTTCACACATTTCTAAGCTACCCGTATTTTCTGCACGTTTTAGAATCAGTGACATAAAATAGCAGTCATTAAAAAAAAAATGCCTTAAGTTCCTTATTCAGAGAAGCCATGCTTTCGTACATGGAAGTAGTGCTTGTCTAAGAGTTTTGTAAGCTGTCCTTTAATTAAAAAAAAAAGGTAGAAAGGGAAATTACATAGAAACCACATTTTAATTAGATCAAATTCCTATTCAAAACCTTAACATTCAGAAAATAAAGTCTACTTTGCTATGTCATTGCTGCTAAAAATAGTTATTTTCTATCATTTTTCACAGAATGTGACACTCCTAGTCCTCCACACTGCCGACCCACGCTCCATACACTTTCTCACTGGCCACCTTCCTGACAAAGACAGGGAAGATGCAATGACAATACAACACACCTGCAAGCTTCTGCTTTCCCTTCTCTCAAGCCCCAAGGTGAGTAGATCCACTGTGACGACTAAGACACATCAGAACTACCACTCACTTTAGCTCTGCTACTGTTTCTCCCCGCTCAGCATGAACCTAAGGCTCTTGCTGGCCTCTCTGCCCTCAGGAAAGAAAACTGCCTAAGATACGGGTGTTGTCAACATCTGACCTTGTGACTTGGACCAGCCACAGACAAGGTTGGGTTTGCAGCACCTGACGTCCTAGCTCTTGACCCCTAGGTCTAAGTTGCCTGCCTAAGCTCCCTTTGTAGTTAAGGGAGGAAAATTGGTATGTTCAAGGCCTTCCATCTGTTCTATTTCAGACTTTTAGGATGAGAGGAAATCACGTCCTAAAAGTGTCAGCTTCTCACCACTGACTGCAAGAGAGTTCTAAACAACCAGTTCAAATGTGGACATGCATAATGTAGATACTGACTGCATGGGTCTGATTGACACAGCCAGATGAAAACATCTTGTTTATTCTTATAAAGGATGACTTGACTGTGGAGTCTAATGTAATTTAGTTACATTTATTTTGAACCCTAAATACATACCATTATAAAACATTCACCTGCAACCGTAAATCAAATGACTGTTTTCCATACAAGAAGAATTATAGGCGATGTGAAATTAAAAGAATTATAGGTAATATGAAATGAACTGCTTTTTATTTAAGACACTCACCTTATTTCCAGTGCCAAAGAAGAATTGATTTTCCAACCTTCTACACCATGCTGGAAGATTGAGGAGCCACCCTTTCGAATTATCTTATCAGAGCTATTGATCATTGATCTACTTAAACTCAGTTCACCATCTCTGCAATGCAATATAGAAAAGACACAATTACACCAAGGTTAACTGTAGTTATAAATAATTTAAGTCACAAGCACCAGTGATATTTCCTTTTATTCACAACAAAAAGAAGCCGTTATCTCTCTGTTTGCCAAAGCAAATAAACTGTACCTGTGAGAAATCTACGGGACACCTATATCCTATATCTAATACTTGATTATGCAAATTAAGAGCTTAAATATGTTTCTATTTGTAATGAAATAGATGGAATAAAAATCACAATAAACTTCAAATTGTGAACCTGGACCAAACTTCAGTATGCTTGTGAGGCAAATTCTGCACTTCAATGTTCCAAATTTCCAGTACTAAACTAAGAATTAAGTGATAACTTTCAAACCTTTGCCCAACAATTGCTCATGTTCTACAATAATGGCCTCGTAGATTCCCTTTGCATCCTATTGATACAAAAAGACTTTCATGCACGGAATTCTAGAGTTTAACACCATACAAACCACAAAATTTGCTCAAGAATTCCTCAAACTTTTGTATGCACGCATCCAAACAACCCTAGTTGTCTTATCCTCTTCATCAATCTTATCATACTCATAAATTTTGGTATGGCAACCTTAAAAAAAATAAAGAAACACAGTAAGCTGTGGGTGATGACCACTGAACATCTGATGAGGTATCATGTTACTTAAGTTGTTAGGTCTAAAAATCTGTTTTTATCTCCATGCTTCCCTTGTCTTCCATACTGCTTCTATTTAGGTGCCAGAGCAATGTTCAGCTATGTTCATACCTAGCTGTTAATGATAAATACATCAAAGTTGTTGGATATAGCTTTCTACCATGTAGAATGTCTTGTATCTTAGGAGCGCATGTTACAATAACATACAGAAATCTCTATATGTTAACTAAGTGCGCTCTGAAATACTGCCAACAACAATAACTTCACTTAGCTTTCTAACAGAACTTTTTGACCACCAGCCATTCAACCAACAAAATGGAAAACATGTGTGACTGTTAAGCTTTTTAGGGAATCGCTGACTCTTGTCTTCCCATGGCTCTAAGTTCTTAAAACAACTGCATCCCAGCCCCTAGTGAGAACTACACCAACATTACTGATATATATATATATATATTAAAAAGTATTAATACTTGGTAGACTATATGGTAGATTGAACTCAAACAAACCAATAACTAAGCTAAATTAAAAAAAAAACCACAGTAACATGTAGTCATTTGCAAAAAGTGCTGTGATTGCAAAAGCCCCTGTAACTAATAAACCAGTATTATACACTTCATCAAAAACAACCCAGCATTACTAGCAACACTCTCCCTCCCTCATCCCCTTTACGCCAACACGCTGCAGCACTGACATTGCACTGACTCATAGGTAAGACTGCCACCTACCGAAAAACCTACAGCTCTAAGCAATAGTGTAAGTACAAGATCTGTATGCAAATTATCCAAATCATGCTACCTTGAGGGCATGGGAGGATGCTGCAGAAGTCCCTAAATTCAATAACCAGAACGCAATTAATACTTTTTGCTACTTTAAAACGTTTTATTCCCTTAAAAAAGTCCATAATGTTTGCAAATATAATTATCACGTATATTTTCCTGCCTATATTTTCTAGATGCATAGAGTGTATGCATCTAAAGGAAAATTACCAAACAACATCCAGGTAAAATACTCAGTCTAAAAGTACTTCAGAGATGTCTCCAGTTTATGCTGGATGAAACGTTATCCAGTATAGACTTTAAGTTGACAAAACTTAGCAACAAAATATGTTGCCAACACCTAAAGCACTGTAGCATTTGAAATGTGGTTCATACATATTCACAAACTACATCTGCAGTAAGCTATATAGATTGTACAGTAAAACAATGTTAAATTATGTTCTCATAAGCTAAAAGAAGGCCTGAAGCACTTTGTGTTAAAGTTCTACTATGAACACAATGGTGTTCACTCACATGCTCTGCTCCCTTTTATTGGTATTATTTAATGTTCACTTAAAGTAATGTTAAATAAATTAACACATAAAAAGCTAAATTTACTCCAGAAAAATCTCGTTGTGTAAACAACTGTGAAATAAATTTGGGCTACCTTGTATCTTCTAGAATCACTGCAAATCTTCTTTGATGTAAATTATACAGCTTCCGTAGCGACAGCAACTTGTGGCTGACAGTGTCAACCTTCACTCTGAATTACTTTGCCTTGGTCACCAATCAGGCCAATAAAATATGAGTATCTCTTTTCCTCAAGACACTTCATTAAATATAAATAACCGTCTTCAAGCATATTCCACATCAGTAGAAGATAATGCTGTTTAAGAAACACTGCATTCCACATAATATGTGTGTTTCATTACATGCTTGACCTTTAAAGGGACACTACTGTTTAATTAAAGAAGGGCATGCTTTCGCAATTATTGTCCTAGCAAACTTTGCTATAAGAACACAGCTGACTTAGCGTTTATTACATACTTCAAAAATGCACATAGTCCATTTTGGAATGTCTGGGATTTACCTGCAGTGTCGCTAATAACCATAAATTGGGCCACCTCACGCATTCACAGTTCTGCATTACTGGTACTTCTGGAAGTAAAACATCCCATGGAAAACCAACTTTGCTTGCCTATGTCAAAAATCACCAAATGGCATGAGCCCTTCCTTCAGGAGAAAGGCAAGTGTAACATCATAGTGGCAGGAGATACTAGTGGTATACTTAGGATTTTTTTTTCCTGCTTCGTACAGTAACGGAGGGGAAGACAGGCTGGGAAAAGAAACTGTATTCCAATATCCTTAGCCAAAGTGAGTTGCACCATACTGCACAAGAAGTCTCACAGAAGCAGAGACATCACTAAATGACCTGGCAGAAGTACACTGCAGCTACACTTTAAAGTGTTGTTAAGGACATACACATTTATGACTAAACATACTTATTTTCTTTCCTTTAATATTAAATCATCAGTTCATTTTAGTACCTTTTAAATCCTGTCAAACAATGTATCATAAGCTGAAGGGGGCTTTTTTTATTTCAAATATATATGGATTCTACCTTGTGACTAATTTCTGAATCATTTTAGCAGCTACCTCTAGTCTGACAGGAAAAGGAGCAGATATTAAGACACATGGGTATCTTTAATGCTGATTCTCCCTCACACATTTGTTTTCACATGTATTTTTTTTCCCACTCCTACAATTTTAAACTTCTGTGCATCTCGGAAGTATGCAATACTACAGCACCGCGGCAGAAAGTGGGCTTAAACCCAGGAGGAACAAGAGGGAAAGTTAACAGCAAGTTGTGAAAATCTTTAATACCAAGGAAAGCAAACATCGCATCATTAACCACACACAAGCATAGGCGAGGCCAGCCTCTGCTCCCAGCAGGTGCCAGGACCACTGCTACCCAGTTGTGCCCAGCTGTACCCAGCTGCCTGCACTCCACTCCCACAACGACCTGCCTGGATAAGGGCAAGGGAAGAGGGATGCATTTTCTGCCTTTAACTTTGGGGACTGCAGGGGTGAAGAGGGGACCAAGCAGATCGTAAATTGCCCCAGCGTCCTCCAGGGTCCTACCAGAACTTAGAACCTCCTTATGCCTCCTCCTCAAATTAAGGCAAGGGCTTATAGCAAAGGATGAAAATCTGCTGTGAATGCATCTACCCCCTGCCCCCGCCTCCAGGCGATTTGCACAAGCAAAGAGAAAGTGTGAGCCCCTTCCCTGCCTTTGCTGATTTCACTAAGCGAACCCGGAATTTACACATCCCTCCTGTGGGGGGAAAAAAAAAAAAAAATTATACCCCCCCAAGGAGAAACAGGCTTGGCTGAAAACCCAACCCCAGAATTTACACATCCCTCCTGTGGGGGGAAAAAAAAAAAAAATTATACCCCCCCAAGGAGAAACAGGCTTGGCTGAAAACCCAACATCTTCACAGGTAAGCTGCAGGTTGGGAGAAGATTGAGGAATACAGGCACACACGTACACAAACACAATGCGCGACAAAGAGAAAGCTGAGGTGCAAGACAGAAAAATGGCAAGGCACTTTTCGCCCTTTATTTTCAACGGAAAACGGGCAGGAGAGGGAAAATACCTAACACAGGGTCGCAGCGAGGGACCAGAGTTTCCTGCGGGGGACCCTCGGGAGCTATGGGGGATTGTCCCGTACACTCTCAGAGCGAGCATCCCCCAAGGAGCACCGAAGTTAAAACTTCAAGGAGGGAGGCAGGGGCCACCCAGAGCTGCCAGCGGCCGCGCACACCGGCAGGGTCGACCCTGAGGAGCTCCCAAAGCAGGAAAGGCGCTCCGGCGGCCCCCGCCACCCCCTCCGGCTACCCCCCCCCTCCG